GGTTCAATATTGTTTCAACAATGTGAGGTTGATGTCACTCGACCAAGGCAATTGTGTTCCAGAGTGTGCTGTGTGGTGTTATTGTGGGCTTTTTGTCGTCATTTGCATGCTGGCTTTCTTGTATTTATGGGAAACTTGTATATTCGTTTGCATATTGATCAGCGAATTGGTACATTTACTTGTATACTGATCTCCAGTGTTGGTTGGTATTAGCGTCTTGATTAACATGAAAGGTTCTCAACATTTTATCAGAAACTTCATACTTTTGATTGTAGGATTGATGTGAATTCTACACATTAAATATCATAATTTGTAGGTGATATATTTGCTAAAGCCCTTTGCTCTTTAGCATCATCAAATTTTATCTCTTTTGATTTTCATTGCTCGCAGAGTTTGAATGCTGGTGAGTTTTGTTTACTAAATTCTCCCTGTATTTGCTTATAGGTAGTGTGTTGCATTTGTATGTCGATTTGGACCACCGATAGGCTGCATTCATTGCTAATCTCTTTGTGCATGTTGGTTAGCAAAGTGTTGTGTTCACATACGTATTTTTCTTCACTAGTTGCAAATGACATGTCAAATATGAGATGGATCTCTTGCAGTGCCCCATACACATTTGTGTTTGTTGTACCTCATTTGATTCTTCTCATGTTCAAGTGTTGAATGCAAGGTATCGTTATATCCGTTGTACATCAGATCTTTTTGCTTGTAGGGGATCGATGTGTTTTTCTTGCATGTCAACTTGCATTAACTATGAGAGAGCCATGCTTTAGTGCTTGAAGCTCCCTCCACCATAAACCCCTTGATGCATCTTCATGAACTCCCAACATAAGCTTATAGGTGGATTACTACCTATTGGTGCTATCACTTTGATTGATGTAATCATTATGAATGAGTTGTAGTATTGAAGATCTTTGTTCAGTTCAACATCATTTGCTCAAACTTGTTTTTGAATTTGATTTTACATTCAAAACATGGTTCATTGAGGCTCAAGTTTGAGTCCAATGTAAACTCAAATCAAAACTTTACTTGAGTCTAAATCTTTCAAATCATGTTCAAATTATACTTGATTAGTGTCCAAATTAATCTCAAGTTAATGTTCAAGTTTGAGCCAATGTCTTCTTTGTGGTCCAAATCAACTTTGAGTCAGTGTTCATTTTATTCAAGTTCAAGTTTCTACTTGATGTTGCTCAACCCAAATTCATTGTTCATAAGCTCTTGCTTTGAGCTCAAGTATAGTTTAGGCTCTTCATGAACCTCTTCCATTCGTTCGAGCCCCCTGTTGTCCAACTCAAATATTTGCTTGAGTTCAAATTGTCCAAGTTCAAGTTCTTATTTAATCAAATTTGAGTTCAAATGTTCAAGTATGAGTTCAAGTCATGTCCACTTGATGTATAAATCAAGATCAAATCTGAGTCCAAGTCAAATTCAAGTTCACTTGAGTTCAATTCATGTCCTTGTTCATTTTGCAAGTTCAAGCTCACTTTTTTTTATTCAAGTCCTTGTCCTTTAGACAAAATTTCGGCAGCCTCCCAGCGTCTCCCACATTTAGGGGAAAAATCAAGATGCCGCCTACCCGCCACGTCAAGAAAGACGTGCACGGTTGGTGTTTGTGAAACACTGTGGCAGTGATTTTTTCGTTTGTCATCCACCACGCCAAGAAAGGCGTGCATAAGTTTTTTTTTTTAAGCAGATTTTTGAAAAAATAGTTTTCCTCGTGTATGGGTACTTATATTTTTTTGTCCCACCGTGCTAAGAAAATCACGCACAGAGATTTCCCACCTCGCCGTAGGCTTCGCATCGAGTTTCCTCCCGACACGCTAAGAAAAGCGTGTACAGGGGGTCCCTTGTCGTGCTGCAAATGCCGAAAATAGAACTTTTGGAGAGGATTATCCGCCTCGACACAAGCACTGCGACGAACTTCCTCTCACCGTGCTAAGAAAAGCGTGTGTTGACCCTCATAATTATACCCAAAAGAAACAAAGGCAAATGAAATCAAAGTAGAAATCCAGCATACATTCATCTCATATCCGTTGAGTCCCCGAAATCTGCCCGAAATCATCCGCAAATCCTGCTGTTCGGCGCCGTCTGCGTCGTTTTTCCGTAAAATCTGCCGAAACATCCCGGGTATCCAGCGATCCGCCTCGATCGGACGACCCCAGACTTCGTTAAATACCGACCCAAAGCCACTCTTCACGCTGCTCTCGACTCTCCCTCTGTCCGACTCCCTCCACTCTTCCATTTCACGATCAAAGCCACGCGCCGAACCCCTGCAACCCGACGACCTCTGCCCTAATCCCGATCTCCTCTACAGCGACCGAGC